TAAGTGAGCCAGCTGGAGCATCCTCCCTCCCCAGCAATGATGATCTCTGCCTTGCCTAAGAGTTGGACTAGAGGCCTTCTGAGGTCCCTTCCAGTTTTATGATACTGTGTGAACATGGGATTTGGAGGCAGAGGACTTGGCTTCATATTCTATTTCAGACACTTAACTAGCCCTGTGATCTTGAGAGCAGGTCCCTTCCTCTCTTAGGGCCTTTAGTTTTTCCTTTGAGGGGGTTAATAGGTCCCTTCCTAAGGTCCCTTCCAATCCCTAGTATTCTATGCTCCCACTTAGTATTTTCCAGAGAAGGGAACCATTTCAAGGATTCCCATCTATAGACCCATGGCAGCTAGGTGGTATGGTGGATAAACACGCTGGGCTTGAAATCAGAGAGACCTGAATTCAAATCCTGCCTCACATACTCCCTTGCTGGGTAAGTTACTAAGGTTCTTTCTGAAGCCTCAGTTTCCTCATCTGTAAAATGTCTTTAATGGCACCCACATTATAGAGTTGTTATGAGGATTAAATAATGTAAGTAGTTTTGGAAACTTCAAAGCACTATGTAAATGTTGTTATTGCTATTATTATCCTTATTGTTATAAACCTATAAATGGTCATAGGCACTGAGTGGTTCCAGAAATTTTTATAAAGCAATGCAAAGGACTCATGATGAAGAATGCTATTCACATCCAGAGAAAGAACTGATGGAGTCTGAATGCAGATCAAAGTATACTATTTTCACTTCATTTTTTTTTTTGGTTCTTTTTTTTTTTGGTCTCTGTCTTCTTTCACAACATGACTAATGTGGAAATATGTTTTGCATGATTGCATATGTATAACCTATATAAAATTGCTCACTATGTCTGGGAGGAGGGAGGCAAGGAAGGGAGGAAGAAAATTTGGAACCCAACTTTTTTTAAAAAAAAAAAGAATGTTAAAATTGTCTTTATATGTAATTAGGAAAAAAAAATATTATTTTTAAAAAAGAAATTGCTATAAAGGCACCAAATGCTAAGACTCTAGAGGTGCCTATACTCACAGCCTTGGAAGTGTATTAACCCTACGTGTTGGAGAACCTATGGTTTTCTTAATGGTGTCTCCCTCTGGTTGTGTGTGTGTGAGTGTGTGTATGTGTGTATTTATGTATGTGAGCAGAGTCATAAGCAGGAATTCTGACATCTAGGACAAATTCTGTAGGAAATTATGGCCCGGAAGGGATTCCTATGAAGTCAAACTGGAGTTTGCAAATCTGGAACACACAGGATAGACATTATGAAATCTGTGCTGAGATTTCCACCAAAATGTCAATCCATGCACCATGACATTTTTATTTCAATGCTAATTGCTAGCTGATTTTACCTCTTTCAACTTAATCCCTGAGCTATTTTTCTTTAATTGAAAGCCCCTGAAACCAGGAGTTCTGGTACATAAAGTAAATTCATTTGAGGGCTGTCTGGATGGAGAATAGCAAACCTTGTCCTGAGGCACCCCGTATCCACAGAAGGATAGCAGCCAGGCAACTTGCTGGCATGCCAGGTATACCCTGGGTTATTGGGGGATGGCATAATTGCCCTTCTGGCTGAGTGAAAGTAACGTCCAAACAAATTATAGCCCAATGAATGTCATGGACTATGATTGCCCTGGAAGAAATGACGAAAGGGTCAGAGAAACCTGGGAAGATTTATATGAACAGATCCAAGATGAAGTGAATAGAACCAGCAGTATTTCTATTTTATACAACACTGTAAAGACAAAGAGCTTGGAAAGACTTGAAGAACTCTGATGAATGCAGTCACCACCCAGAGTACCAGTGATGAGTACTATCCATCTCCTCAGAGAGGTGGCAGGCTCAAGGTGCACATTGAGACATTTGGTCAGTGTGGAGATTTGTCTTGCTTGATTCTGCGTGTTTGTTACAAGGGTTTTTTTGGTTTTGTTTTTCAGTGAGGGATGGGGGGGCATTGATGGGAAGAAGAGAAAGTCAAATGCTTGCTGAATAAAAGGGAAATTAAATGCACTCCCTGGAGATGTGAAGAATCTTGATAGGTTAGCCCCAACTTCGCTACTGGAAAGTGGCCTGTCTCCTGGCTGGGTGGGTAGGATGGCGATAGGTCAGTGGAGATAGGAGTCAGCGGATGCTGGGCCTTGGAAGGCAGGCTCTGGTGCAGCTGTGCCTGGTCTGGAGCCAGCTCTCAACCTATGAAACTGGGGAATCTAAGGGGACCAATTCCCTCCATGTCAGTCCCAGACTGAAACAGCATATTGCTGCTCACCATCTGACTTGACCTTGACCCTCACTACTCCTGCTCATGCACTTGTTTGTTTTTATTGTTTGTTCTTTATCCTGAGGTCTCTGAGCAGGAAGCAACCCTATCTGGAGGGGCAATGTCTGTCCAGCAAGCCCCTTGTCTGTGCGTGGCCCTTACCCTAGAACTTCCCCACTGGGAAGCGGGCCTCTTCCTCCCCAGTCTTTGGATGGAGCATCAAAGTGGGAATTAAGTATGTCCCCTCTCCATGGCCCTGCCTTCATTACTGCCCTGGATGTGAGGAGGGGCTGTCTTCTTGGGCCCTTTTCCTTCTCTTCCCTTCCAGGGTGGAGGAAGCCTTGGTCAGTCTGGTTCTTTCAGTTCTGCTCCTCACCCTGGAGAGTTCCTGATAAAATCTTTGTGAGGCCCTCTACAGAAGGAAGGCATCTCTGCACTGAAATTAAGTGGGAGGGCATTGTATTGGGAAGAGTACTAGATTTTGTTGAATTGCTTCAGTTGTATCGAACTCTTCCTGACCCCATTTGGGGTTTTCTTGGCAAAAATATAGGAGTTGTTTGCCGATTCCTTTTCCACCTCATTTTACAGAAACAGAGTTAAGTGACTTGCCCAGGGTCATACAGCTAATAAGTGTCTGAGGCCAGATTTGAACTTAGGTCTTCCTGACTGCAGGCCCAGTGCTGTAACCAATGCATGACTTAGCTGCCTTGGAGTAACAAGATGTGGGTTCAAATCCTAGAATAGTTACTACTTGTATTATCGTAAGCAATTGAATCTTAAGTTTCCTCTGCTGTGAAATAAAAGTAGAGATGACCTCTAAGTTCCCTACCTACACTGCAGAGTCTAGGATCACCAGGGTCAAAAATGACAAAGGAAAATGTGCAGTCAGTTGAAACAATCAGAGCTGAGGTCTTGGGGAGCCCATGATGCTGCCCGGAGGGGGCAGGTAACTCAGACATGGAAGAAAATTCAAGGAAGTGAGGTGGTGAGAGGGAATCTTCCCCACAGGCTCAGTGTCAGGGCTGGAGGGAATCTTCCTTCCTTGGGCTGTATAGCCCAAGTCTCATTTTACTGGCCCAGAGAAGGAAAACAGCTTGTCTAATGTGACACAGCCTTGTAACTAGAACTAGTGGAAAGGGTAGCCTTGTTGAAGGTGGGAGATCAGGGTGAGACGCAGCGCTGGGTGAAGGGTAATGTGAGGCTTGGGGGAAGGTCAGAGGAAGAGGCTGGTCATGGAAGGGAAAGGTCATAGAAGGTTAAAACCATGAGGGCCTGGTGGGCAGGTCACAGCAAGAGGGTGGTGGGAAGTTGGTCTGGTCCCAATGGGAGCCTGAGGTGGGGGCCACAGTGAAAAGCAGGTTGAGACAGAAAGCAGTTGGGGAATCTTAATGGAAGGATGAATGGAAGGGGCCAGATGGGAGGTTGCCAAGGAATAAGGGGCTAGGAGTTTGAGCAAGGGTAATGTGAAGCTGGTGGGCAAGGCAGAGCCCTTAGAAGACGGGGATAGGTGGATGCTCATATCCCAGATGCAGGTCACAGTGGGAAAAGGAGATCAGGGCTGTTGAGGGTTGATATGAAGCCAG